TTATTCCTAAAATGGCTCATTGAAATTATAATTTGGATTTTCTAATTTAGGTAATTGCCTCGTTAAAAAGATAAAGAAAAAAGCCTCTAGATTTAGTTATTTCTTCATTAAAAGCGATGTAAGAGCTTAATTTCATTACAGTGCCAATTTCCTCTGCTGCATCTCACTCCCACCTGTCTACTCAGACAAATACATGCGAATAATTTCCAATTTCACAATCTCCTATTTCCTATTGATTAAATGAGATTAGATAAGTGAAAACAGCTCTGAGAATTATTTTGCAGTCCAATATAGTTACTTCTCCTGTTTATTGCCATGAAAGCTACATAATCTCATTTTTGTGTAGTCTGCTTTACTCCAAATATGAGTTCCCCCAAGTGTTTTGTGTTTGAATCAGTTCAGCTGCTTTCCCCTACCTTCACTGATCCAGTCTCCTTCCTCTATTCCGGTTAACTGGAATTCTGGCTACAGTAGAATAACTGCTTGCTTTTTTTTTTTTTTAATCACATGAAAGTATTTATAGAACCATGGGTTGTCATAGCCTTTCTACTAGACATTTTAGGAGATTTTAGAACCTTTAAACTCTACATCAGTCTTTGTCAAAGAGGCAGGATTTTTTTAAGTTACATGTATTTAGGAAAACTCAGTAAGTATGACCATTTTCTCCTCTCCTTTCCTTACAGGATGAAAACGCATTCACAGTAAACCTGTCACTTCTCTACCTTACACCCTTTTTATTTTGCAATCCTAAATGCTCTAGCAGATGACTATTGTGTCATAAAATGATGATACATTCACTTGAGAAAATATAGGGTTACTTCTTGAAAGAATTGAAGAGGTACTGAGTATAGTGCCATCCAGGTTGTAAAGAAACAAGAAGTCACCTTGTATGTCACTAATTAGTTGGGAAGATATAATACTTCTATTACTGTGACTACTACTAATAATGATAGCTAATAATTTTGAGCCAATATATAAGGACAACAATAATAACAAACATTTATTGTTCACTTACTTTATTCTAAAGACAGCACTAAGATAGTGCTTTGCTTGCATTATCTTATAATAATAAGTCTTAACTAAGCCATCCTTAACAATGCCAGAATCTTTCATAATTTGGCACTTCAAGATTCCAGATTGCAAAGCCCATCTTTAACTCAACTCTGTATCAACAGTTCTCAAACATTTTGGTCTCAAAACCCTCTACATACTTAAAAATTAGGAAAGAAAGTTTTTATGTGGGTCATATCTATTTATATTTCTGTATTAGAAATTAAAACTTGGACATTTTAAAAACCCATTTTGTGTTAATTAAATAACATGTTTTAATTAAATAACATGAAACATAACTGAATCTTCAAAAAAAAACAAGTGACATTGTTTTTTTTTTATTATTATTATTTTTTGCAAATCTCTTTAATGTCTGGCTTAATAGAAAGCAGCTGGAGTGTCTTATCTGCTTCTGAATTTTATCCATTGCAATTTGTTGTTTTGGTTGAAGCATATGAAGAAAAGCCAGCCTTATATAGATATGTAATTGGACAAAGAGAGATTATTTTAATAAAGTCTTTCCATATGATTGTGGATATTCTTCTTTGATATCAACCCAGACTCTACAAAGGGGTATTTTCTTAAATGTTAGGTGGCATGTGGAATCTGAAACCATATCAATGAACTTTCCCTCCTCTGTACAATAAAAAGGGTAAGTGAAAAGACACTTTGAGAACCTCTGGTTTAAGCTTCGGAAGGTAAGAAAGAGCACAATGAGGACCCTGAGCAGACATATTTATGCCTTATTTACTTCACCAATTGTCTTTCAAGCCTGAGACAAAAAAGAGACAAATGGTTATTTGCTCCCCATCCTGCCAAGATATGGAGAGGATGGAGCTAGTGTCACAAAAGTGATCGAGAGTTCTGAAATTAGATGTGCAGCTGTGATCCTAAAGTGGAGTATGCTGTTTTTCCCCTCGAATAAATTAAAATAAATAAATGTATGGATATTGAAGGTGCTTTCTTAGAGTGGTGTAAGGTATAACTAATCATACCCAAAGCCTTTAGAATTAGCCAATATTAACAGTGCTAACTAAGTTCATTGTGACTGTCAAATGCATTGCTAATTTTATGTCTTAAAATTGAACTTTCCCTGGACATCTTGTTGAACTTTCTATATATTTACTCAGGAGAATTTAATATATATTATATGTTTTAAAAAGAAAGGAAAACATTTTTGTCTGGCCACTGAAATCACAAAGCCTTATCTATTTATCTGTGAACTATAAAACTGCATGTTTTATCTTTTTATAAACTAAGCACTAACATGAATAGGAAATACATTTCTGCAACATTTGCTCTTTTTTTCTTTGTTTTATTAGTATGCTTTAATGGTGCTTCTATTTGCTTTACTAAACAGTGAGATCATTTTATTTCTACTTGAAGATATGCAAGAGTCTTGTCTACGTGTAAATTTTCAACCTATTAACTCACATTATATTTCCATGAGAGTAAGTTGTTACCGTGATAGACATTGACTGACATAACTTTTTTCTTGAGGGTAGAGAGGGAATATTGATATATTTATATATGATTTTATTGGGAGAAATATTTTACTTGTAAATAAATGTATTTATGATTTTTTGTTTAAAAGAAGTTAAATTCTTTTATTAGAAGTACAATAGTCATCATTAATTTCTCTGAATATAATTGATTTTCATTTTAGACTATTAAGAGATCCACCCAAAATTATTTGTTCAGATTCTTTTTTCCAATATGTATAAGGGCAGGGGGACAGGTAGAATAGAATTATAGAAATTCTGTAAACGATAAACCTAAAGCATTAGTTCCCATCTACCTTTTTTTTCTTAAACCAGTACCATGAACATCAGAGCTAGAGATAAATTTGTTTGAGTTATACTTCAATATGGTACATTTTGTGGTGATAATGACAGTTTGTTTCCCACCCAATACCCAAGTTTCTATATAGCATATTTTAAAAATTTACTCATTTCAAAAATATTTAATGACATTTTAACATTTCTGATAAAACATCCTCTCAGTATCTTCCTGCTCAATTCCAAGTATCAAAAACAACTGTTGAAATAACACTACCTTAGAAAAAAAATCAGATGTATAAATATTAGCAGCTGCTCTAGAAATAATCCAGTGGGGGCTGATAAAAAATAAAAAAAAGAAATAAAAGAAATATGGGAACAGAGCCATCATGTTTTTTGCTTTAAAATTTCATTATAGATTTCAGGAAGTTAGACACTTACATTTGAGCTCACATTTTTAAAAAGAAAACAAAACTCTTTGGATAGTCAAGTAAATGCGAACACCGGTCTCAGGTGTTCCCTGACACCAAATACATGGTGTCTTTTCAAACACCAATTATCCAACTCTGAATCTCTGATGCCAACTGTGTGTCCTACAATTTAATCTTATTGTGACACCAGCTACTCAGAGTTAGTTAGCATCAGACTCCACAGGTTTAAAAGCTCAGTCCCACAAGACTGCCGTCACTTCAGATGTAAATCACAGGTACTGAGTCCTCTGTTTACCTGCACTCTGTCTGATTTGGCTACAAATTCGAGGGTACCACCCACTCCTACTCCCACTCAAGTTTGATAACTTGCTAGAACAACTCATAGTGCTCAGGAAAATGCCATACTTACTATTACAGTTTATTATATAAGATAAAAAATGAACAGCCACATAAAAAGGTAGAGAGGGTGAAGTCAGAAGTGCCTCAAGCACAGGGCCCTCTGTCCTCATGGAATTGGGCTACCCCATCTTGCCAACGCGTGGATGTGTTCTCTAGCTCGCAAGCTCTCCGATCCCCATTGGTTAAGGGTTTTTATGGAGGTCCCATTTTAGGCACAATGGATTAAATTCTTGACCATTGGTGAGTAAACTCGGTCTCCAGCCCCTCTCCCCTCTGAAAATGGAGAGAGTTGGGGAGGGGCTGAAAGTTCCCACCTTCTTATCACAGCCTCCATCCTGAAGCTATCTAGGGGCCCACCTAGAGTCACTTCATTAGAATAAACTCAGCTATGTTTGAAAGGGGCTTGTTAAGAATAGCAAAAGATTCTCCTATTACTCTTATCACACAGGAAATTCCAAGGGTTTTAGGGGCTCTGTGCAAGGAACCAGGAATAAGACCAGATATATTTTTTATTATACTGTAACTGGGTTTACTCCAGGTAGTGGAGAACAGTTATGAAAGTATGGCAAGGAGAGATAGTTTTCCTTTCATGCTGAACATTCCTGAATCCCTTCCCTCACCACATCCGCTGTTCAGGTTTTTATTGCTGCATACCATATTACCCCCGAAACTGGAGTAACTTAAAATCACAAACAATTATTTCACAATTTGGAGGACCAGGAATTTGTGTACATCTCAGCCGGGTGCCTCTGGATCAGTGTCTCCCTGACCTCCGTGGTCAGGGCTGTGGTCTTACCTGAAGACCTACTCTATGAACATTTGCTCCCAAGCTTATACGTGTGGTTATTGGCAGACCTTGGACGTCACCATGTAGATCTGTCCATAGGACTGCTCACAGAATAGCCGCTTGCTTTCTCCATTACTTCCATTATAATCATTAGATATCAGTCATTAAATCCAGCCTATCCTCAAGCAGAGGACATTATACAAGGGCACAAATACCAGGAGATGGGATCATCTATCTTAGAGGCTACCTACCACAGCTGCCCAAACATAATTGGATTTGGTAATGGTAAGATGCACTGGACAACAGATGAGAAAGGAAATTACAGACATTTATCTGGTTGCTTTGCCACTTTTACTTTCTAAATCTCCAAAGCTTTGCTCAAAGTATTTTTATTGACCAAAATCTATTCTGATTAATTTTTTTAGTCAGTAGCTGGATTTCAGCAAGAAAGCTGTATACAATCAAAGGAGTAAAATCTCAGTAGAAGGAAATCAGTGTAACTTTACTTATTTACTATCAAGTGAATAATGATCTCATATGCTTATCTTTTTAAAGGGAGAACCAGGTTTCATTGGTCCTCAAGGGGAGCCAGGCTTACCAGGGTTACCAGGAACAAAAGTGAGTGGAGTCTTTTTCTTTTCCTTTCTTTCTGAATTTGTTTTGTCATGTATTTTCAGTCCATTATGTTGAAAGAAATGTAGGGTAACTTTATTATTTATGTGACCACATATTTTTGCCTCACAGAGAACTAAAGCAGCCTATAACCTACTACTAATACTTCTAATGGAGCTACCATATTAAGTAGAGTAATAGGAAGTTAATTTTAGAAAGCCTTAATCAAGATGACAGTAAGGTAGAATATATTAGTTGTTCCAGTTGTCCCCCAGATTGCTCCTAAATTGATGCGATGCTATTAGCTTCCTGGCCACATGGAAAAGTGGTGGGATTCTAAGGGGGAGAGATAAAACTCATTAATTACTGCTCTTTATCACTGATTTTAGGACATACATGTAAATCAAACATTATTATTATTCCCTCATCACTCCCTAGATTTCAGGGAACACTGATTTCACATAGATTCCTAAGTGCATCATCTCGAAATGATCCATTCTCAATAACTTCTGCAGAAAGATTCTGTAATGAAAACCATGTCAAGATCTTCTACTTGGCAACCCTAGAGAGGGCTCTAAAAGCACAATCTGTCTACCACCATATAAAAGATTATGTTTTATATGTTTTTCCAGCAGTGGATACACTCAGGCCTGGAGTTCTCTTTTTATCTACCCAGTAAGACATAAAAAAGGAACAGCTCTGAGGATGGAACTTTACTCGTGACAGACTCACGAATCAAGGAAGGGGCAAATTTAGATCAAATTGGATTCTTTCATTTTTAAACCATAGCAATCTTTGCCTCAATGTGTGTTGCATTCACCAGAAATAAGCCAGGATGATTTCCAGGAGCTAGAGAAATGTGTTCGTGGTCTGTTCTGACAGAGGGGTCCCCATTCCCGCCGGTGAAGAGAAAATAACTCTAATCCTAGTAAATGGAAACTATGTGTGGCCTAAAGGGGACTGAAACTAGATTGAATTCATGCAAAATTGCTGGTGTTTTTGAGCAATTTCTATTTCACATAATGAGCTGTCAGGCTTATTAACAAAATGTGAGACATGCCTGTTTTAGGTTGAACAGATTCACACAAGAAACACACTTTCTGGACTATACATACAAACATACATACATACATACATACATATGTATATATGTATATATACATACATACACACACAGAGAGAGAGAGCGCGCGCGAGTGCATGAAAGAGAATAATGAGTATTCTCTGTTCATACAAGAGCCGTAGTATTTATTCAGGCTTGCAGCCTCAGAGAAGGACAGCAGCCTCATGGATAGGCACAGACAAGGGAAACCTGGCGGGTGTTGAAGAGAACCAGGCATGAACTGCATCTCTAAATGTTTGCAGCATTTGGCTTGCTAGACAAGGGAAAATAAAAGAAACACAGGCAGTAGAGAGTGTAGCTTATCCCTAAATATCTTTTCTTTAGTTCACTGATTTTAAACTATTCCACGGTTTCAAAAAAAAATCCAAATGTGGAACCACAAAATCAACATTAATTACCGTTCATGAAGAACCCACTCTGACTTTACAGATCAGATACTTTAATAGCAGATACTAGCCTGAACTCCCACTAAAAGTAAAGAATGTACTATACCTGTTTTATATTTTCACAAGATGGGATATGGATAGGAAATTCATTTTATTAACAATACTGTAAAGTTTATTTTCAGCTAAATTACCTATTTAACATGAATTTGGTATCACAATGGAAAAGTCATGATTATTTAAAAATCTCTTCCAGGCAAACAACTAGGTTTTTCCAGTTACGTAGGCAATCTGGATTTGTACCACTCAATTAAAAAAATAAACTAACCTCACATATTTTACCCCCAGCACAGTGAAGAGAAATCATAATGAAGGAAGATATATAACAGCACCTAAAAAATCTGTTTCTGCACTTCTGTAGCTTCAGCATCTATCTCAGTCCTGGAGAGACCTATATTACTCTAAAGAAATGGGGTCTTATTCCCAATAATTTGGAATACTTTGACTAATACTGTTTATCCATTAATTCAAGAACAAAAAATTTTTCCAGACATTTTTCTAGTATTTGAGAATGAAGAGAGAGTAAATGCAGCAAAAACAGCCTCTGTCTACTCTCCTGAAGCTTACCTAGTGTGTGTAAGGGAGGATGGGAGGAGAGAAAGAAGTAAACAAATAAATAATATAATTCCAAAGAGTGATAAGCAACTAATTAGGGATATTATGATTTAAAAAAAAAAATGTTTCTAGGTAAAGAACTATAGACTCCACTCCTACGGTATACTGCAGATAAATGATTTTCAAAAGTTTCTGATTTTCTCTAAAATAAGCTTGTAGTTACTATTTTAGAGTTCGTCTATAAAATATTAAGAGAAACACCAAATGTAGTACTTTTTGAAAAAAAATCCATATATCGACAGAAGCACTTCAGTCTCTGATCTCTGGAATATTCCTTCTGGAGCATCTTTTCCACCTCCTGCATCCAGTCAAGTCTTTTACCTTTCTCCCACCTTCCCCATTTGCCCACTCTCTGCCATTCATGCTGAGAAACTTACTGAGTCTTCCTTCATCTTTGGCCTACTCTATCCCACCTCCCCTGTAAAACCACAAAGGCTCCCCAGAGTGAGAATGACACAAATAAAGATCTTGGAATTTAAAGCCTACATCACCCTTTTAAAAACTTTGTGACTTTCGGAGAGTTACTTAAGCTCTCTGAGCTTCAGGTTCTTCATCTGTAGACTTTAAATACTAACACCTTTCTCATCTGTTCTGAGGATTAAATAGGATAATGCATGTAAAGTGTTTGGGGCAGTTCTTGCACTCATTAATAGCACAATCATAAACAGCAAAATTTATAAAATACTCCCTATTCATCCTTCAGGACATGGCTCATGTCTCAGCTTCAGGAAGCCAGTCTGGACCACTGAAAATTTAATGGAGGTTTTTCTTCTCTCATATTTGGCCTTACATTACATTCTTAACTATTTTGTTCATGTGGATCTTGTCTAACCTAGATCACTAGCTTCTTTGGGTCAGTGACCATGTTATAGTTCACAGAGCAGTGACTAGAGCAAAAAACTATAACACCTATGTGTCTTTTACTATGCTGAGCACTTTACATTTATAAGTTATAAGATCGGTACTACAATTTTCTACATTTTACAAAGGAAACTGAGGCTTTTGGAACTTAATTAGCTTGCCCCAAAACACGGAACTGGTAAATAACAGAGCCAGGGTTAAGACCCAGGATGTGAGATTACAAAACCTGGCCATTACAAAGTGACAAATTAAAGTCATTACAAAGCCTTAACCACTTTGCCATGCTTCTTCCTGGTAGTACTTTGAAAGTGGCTACAGAATGCAAACTATGTCTGTTTCTGTTCTGAGGTACCTTGATGGCCTTTATCAAGACCCTTTAAAGGTCTTTCTGTTTATCAACATAGGTACCTGACAAGCATTTACCAATCCATTTCCTTATCTATCAAATGGGAATGATAATACAATTGATTGAACAATTGTTTTATTAACTGAGATAATTCATGTTGAGAGTAATACAGTGCTGGGTACATGACAAATAGTGATAATTTTCAGCTTTTTAAAAATTTTATTTTATTCAACTTAATAATCAGCCGGGACCAGCTGAGATGGGGGTGGGGAGGGGTGTTGCCATTTACCTGTTTTGCAATTCGTGACAGGGTGAACGAGGGGAGGCAGGGCCTCCTGGAAGAGGTGAGCGAGGGGAGCCTGGAACCCCTGGACTGAAGGTCAGTTATTGTTACATTGAAAAATACCATCCTTTGTTTTCAAAATGTGTGCCATTTGCTTTAGAAATGAAACTAAAATTTAAAATTTCTTCTACAGGTATTAATACAGCCAAAATCACAAATAATGTATTGTAATGCACACCAATTGGTTCTTTTCAGAAAAGATTTTATAATTCAACTTTTCCAGTTTACCCTTTTTCAATGAACAAATTTGATAACGCATTTCAGCGTAAAGGGGGAGGTACTGTCACTATTACTCAATGAGTATTAAAGCTTACTGAGAAAATGTTGATGTGTGTTGTGTTAGTTTCGATGGTAACTAGATGGTAACACTTTGAAAATATTAGCGCCAAGGATTTATTTGACTATCCAATCTTTATTCTTCTAAACTTGCTGCAAACTAATATGGTAACACTTTATTTTAATAACCCATACCAGAGATACAGGAAATGATTTACTCTTTGATGAAAAGGAGATTTATACACACTTTGAGACTAATGAGAATTATTCGCAGAGCTCTTCTTATCCACTGGTGGAAGGGCAGTTTCAGTTATAGCGATGATGATACTTTTGTTTAGTGTTTTAATAGCCAGCATTAAATAGAGCCATTTATTGTGGCAGTTAAAATAAAGTGTTCCCATTTTTCTTCACTGAGTCGCTGTTAATTTCTTTTTTCTGTTCTTATCTCCTCTGTCTTTTTCTTTTTCATTTTCATATTCTCCTATATTAGGGAAAACAAGGTGAATCAGGATCTAGGGGCCCAAAGGGGTCAAAGGTCAGTAACCGGGTAATCATTTTAATGTAACACGAGGCCTTCAAGAACTATGCTTTATTCCTGTTGCACAGTGAATCATATTTTAGATGAAACTCTTTCACACACTGCGATTGCAATAATTTCACCCTTATGATGATATCTCAAAACAATTGATTTGTTTCATCTTGTTTTTCATAGAAAATTTAATTATTATGGTCAATGTTATTAGCGTAATACAGCTAGATAAAAATTATAATCCCCTTTCTTGCTTATCTTCATTGGTCTTTACCCAGTTTATAGGAGTATGTAAAAAGACATACCAAAATGCTTTCAATTCCATTTAGGAAAAGGCCTCTCTACATTTAAGGCCGTTTTTAAAGAACCCTCAAATCTAGACAGGTTCAAATCTCTAACGTTTCTGTTTAGATTTCTGAGAATTTTGAGTGTTCTCAGATTGATGTATGTGCAGTTTGGATCCTGGTATCTTTCCAGGTGGGGTAATAACACCATAAACGGAACTTTAGAGATTTCCCATATTGCATTGGGGAAAGAAAGAGAGCTGGGTTTGCCCTGCCCGGACCTTCAGCCCTGCCCCTGTCTCAGCTAGCTGCTGTCCACTTCAGCACCTACTAAAAGTTAAAATGCCTGTACCTACAGAAAAAAAACTTTTCCTTAGATCCCCATCATCACAGGGAGGCCTAGCTGGTGACCTTTCCCTCCTGATTTTCCCTAGAATAAGCTCTCCATTTCTTCCTTGTCTCAGTTATTTACACTTCTCAGAGGACAGACATTTGAAGTGGTTGGCTCTTTTTCCCTTTGCCCCAAATCTTTCCATTAAAGTCAAGAACATGGCTCAATCTAAGAGGTAAAAATGTACTTTGGGTGTCATGGAAACCACTTGCTTTGCTTTTGAAGATCCCTAGTGAGAGAGCTAACATATATATTGTTGTTCCCACGTACTCTAGTATCTGAAAGGGGAATTTTAGTTCACTTCAAGGTGCATCTTAAAAAAGCATTTGCCATGTCAGTGGTTATTGTTCTTCTAGTTGTTATTTTCCACTTCTGAAGTTTGTATTAAAGGTGCTGCTGTGATATTAAACACATCCTTAGATCTGAGACTGTCCTAACTACTAATTAGGTGTTTTCTCTTTTCACTGGGGAAAGGGTGACCGTGGAGACAAAGGAGACTCTGGAACGCTGGGACCAAGGGTGAGTGTGTCTCTCATCTAAGCTTTTGTTCCCCTCCAAGCCCAAATTTAAAGTATGTTTCTGTGTGTCTTTTCACAAGGCACCTGGACTAATAATGTCCAATAATAGCACTGGAGGTAGACTGCTGTAATTATTCCTGCTACTCCCTTCTTTCCTGTTATTTTTAATTTTAGTCGTCAGAAGAAATGAGTGTGTAGATTCTAACACATAAAATAAGCTCATGAGAGGAAGGTCTAAGGACCTCTCCATCTCCTTTTCCTCTGCTAAATGAGCAGTAGGAAGCCCATAGCCATCCAGCTTGTAGAATTTTCCATTTTCAATTAACCCAATTATAAAGAAAACAATAACGTATCTTTTTAGAGCCTTTTTTAAACACAGGCAGGGAATTAGGACATGACTAATGGAAATTCAGTGGCAGAGCTAGTAAGTAGGGTAGAAGTCTTGAGAATATATGTATTTTCCTTCACATTCCCTATTTGGTTTTATTTTAATGGAATTCTATTCCTGTTGGGAAAACCAAACATTTCCTAAGAATAATGTTCTATTTCCCTAAAGAATGAAGAAGCAATCCGTGAGATGTAGATGACTAGAAAAGGTTAGGGGTTGATTTAATAAATCTGGATAAAGTCAATAAATGTTTGCAAGTCAAATCAGATTAGCCTTCATTTTCTAATTTTCAAAAACAGTTTCATATATGAAAAGATGCTCAACATCGCTAACTATTAGGGAAATGCAAATCAAAACCACAATGAGATAACATCTAATACCTGTTAGAATAGCTATAATCAACAGAACAAGTAAAAACAAATATTGGAGAATAGCTAGAATAGCTATAATCTGTTAGAATAGCTATAATCAACAGGACAAGTGATAACAAATGTTGGAGAAGATGTGGAGAAAAAGGAACCCTCATACACTGCTGGTGGGACTGCAAATTGGTACAGCCACTACGGAAAACAGTATGGAGGTGCCTCAAAAAACTAAGAATCGATCTACCATATGATCCAGCAATCCCTCTATTGGGTATTTACCCCCAAAGACTTGAAAACCCATATCCGAAAAGATATTTGCACACCAATGTTCATAGTAGCACTATTCACAGTGGCCAGGACATGGAAGCAACCAAAGTGTCCTACAATAGATGATTGGCTAAAGAAGCTGTGGTACATA